GTGCGTGTACACACACACACACAGTGGGAGGTTGCATATGTATACATAAGCATATACATAAAATCACACATATCTGTGTGTGTATAATTTTGTATTCATGCACACACAGACACACACATAATCATATGTAAAAATATATAAATCACACCAATAAATTTAATGGCAACACAATGTCATTTAGTGTCTTCCTGTATTGTGCTCAGGACAAGCCATTTGTTTTCTTCTCTCACCTTTCCGCTGTTCCAACATGTTTTTTATTCCTCTGTGTATACAACTATATTTATTGTCACATACTTTAGCTATACATTGTCTGATCTCAGTTCTTATGTCTTTAATTTTTCCTTCTACTCTTCAGTTTCTATCATTCCCCCAAATTCTCACTAATATCCAAGTGCCTTAACCAAGTTTTTCCAATATCCCCTCTTTTATCATGTCCAAAATCCCCCCAAATCACCAGTCCTTTACACTGCCTGTTGTTCATTGATTATAAACACTGAGTCAGAAGCCCACAGACTGCTGACACATACTATTTGTGCAGTGCTATGAAGTTTGTAGTACTACTAAAAACAGATTGCTCTGGATTGTGAACATGTGCACAGCACCCTGGCTGGAGCATGACAAAAGTCATGACAAAGGCACACTATCTAACCAAGCAGTGATGCAGGGGGTGAGGGGCTGCTTTTTAGCTCTCCCTGCCCACAAAGGAGCCTGTCAGTGAGTGGAACAGGTTCAGACAGGCTTGCCCCATCAGCTATTGCTGATATGACAATAGCTGAGAGGTCTGCACCTAGGCTACCTGCAGGATCAAGGTCTGATTGTATGCGCTTCTCAACCCAGTCAGCCCTTTGCAGAGTTGTAGTCCAGGGTGGCAGGACCTGAATGGAAGGGGGGCGGGGAAAGGGAATCACCAACTAGCCCCTTCTGCCACACTTACACATAGGGTGACCACACATCCCTAATTCGGTGGGATAGTCCTGAAATATAAACATGAAGTCCTAGTCCTGAGCTGAATAACTATGGGACAGCATTTGTCCTGGATTGCCCTCAATCCACTCAGCTATAGTCCCAGTATCATGTGCAGGAACCAGATTTTCCATTTGCCATGAAAAAAATGTGGATTTCTGCTTTGAAGGAGAAAAACCCAGGAAACTGCAGCTTTCCCCTTTCAGGATGACAGACTTCCAGCCTGCAAGGGGCTGCAGGAGGCTGTGAGGGAGTGGGATGTAAGGGGTGCCATGTTCAGGGCGTGCCATGTGTATGTGCACACATAAATGTAGCCAGCAATACAGCCCCAGGCAGTGATAGAAGACAGCTGGCCCAGCTGCCTACAGGTAAGATTATGGGGGGGATAGTGCATGGGGAAGACAGATTGAGGCCCCTATGGTGAGGGAGGGATTGAGGCTGGGTTGGCAGCTGGGGCTGGAGGCACTGCCCAGCCAGGAGGTGTGTGGGGCCTGGGGCTTGGGACCTGGGTGGGAATGTGTGGCCATGGGGCCTGGTCAAAGAATGGGATGAAGCCATGGACAGCTCATATGGGGGACTAGTGGAAAAGCTGGTTTCTTCCTGCTGTGTGCACTCTTGGGGAGGAGGGGAAGGAACACATGCCCCCCAGATTTGTGTGCAAGGTGGGGGAGGATGCAGGCAGCCCATGAGCCCTGTGCCAGCTGCACCACCATTGCAGCAGCAGGGGGGCACAACTCCATACTGTCACCGCCATCCCTCCTGCTGCTGGGTGGGCAGGGGGCACCTCACTATGGTGGTGCAGCTATGGTGGTGTTGCTGGTAGCAATAGCAGCACTGAGCCTGTCTTCCAGGTTATGCCCACTGGGCTGCAGAGACTTCAGGGAGAGGTCAGCATGGCAGTAAGCCCCCAGCTCCACAGTGGGTAGCCATCACCCACCATGGGCTCTACTTGGCTCTGCTTTGGCCATACTGCCTGTTCCTTGGGGGGAAGGGGAGGACTGGGCTAGAGCAGGTGTGCCTTTGTTTTTTGAAAACTTGGGCACCCTACTTACATGCTGTTGTTGCTGGGAATGTTTTCTGGGAGGCAAGGGTGATGCAAGCAGATTCCTTCAGGGTTCCTTGATAGCCTGCCTTTGGGTGAGCTGTCAAGGAGCCATCTTTTCTTCCTCCTCCTGCCCCTCCCTGCTTCTGTAGGATGCTGGGAGACAAGAATGCCTTTCCATACTTCTGTTGCAGATAACCTTCCCTTGACAAAGAACTTGATGTTTTGAAAAAAACAACTATTTTTCTCACGATTCTGCCATTTTTGGGCTGGATCATCTATTCTGTTTAGCGTGACAAAAAGCATGAACATGTGTCCCCAGGTTTGTTCTTGTGCTAAAACAGTAGATGAAATGCAACAAATATAAAATGTGTCAAAGCCACAGCCACCACTAGTGGTAATCATTTATTTCTAGCCACATATCTAGCCACATTTAGACACCCAAACAGGGCCTCTTTTTAAACATGCCACCAAAATCACATTCCTTGTCCTTGCTGCTATGTTGTACTGCAAAATCTCACACCTGTATTATTTGTGTCACTATCACTACAAGTTCTGCTTCAGCAATAATCTTTTCTAAGTTTCTCCTTCCCACAGATTTTATATAAATATAATATATTAGACAAAACCCCAACATATTCTATTATAGCATGGAAAAATACAAACTCTCTGAATTAACTTGAGGGCAGACAATCCATCTCCTCTTTTAGTTCTTACAGAAAATTATTCCTGTTCAAAGATTCCATTTCAATTGAAAGTCACAGTCTCCCAGCTATCTTGAAGGAATTCATCCAGTCTGCCCTATGAGTTCCTGTAGGAAATGACTCCTTCTTTAAGATGGCTATATTCTCAGATTTTCTTATATCTTGTTATAACAAGTGACATAGATAAGGATATAAGTTGAATGAAGTTTCACTGATCTTGTTCATCCATAACTTTCACAGTGTAACTGTCTTTGTTCAAGAATGCATGGTTAATTGCAGTTCAGGGAAACACTACACATTTAGGTTGATTTGATTAAGCACTATTCAAGATCATAGGGGCTGTTTAATCCATTTTCTAATCTGTAATATAGCATTACATGACATGAGAGGTGGAAAAAAGATCCAGCACACTTCATTTGCAATAACTTGCTTTGAAAACAGATTCAATTTTTCCTCAAAGAAAGTCTGAGTATGTTGAATGTTATTCAAGATGAAGTGGCAGACTAATTCAAAAGAAAACACAGTAGTCCAGAAACAGCATACTTTTCCATGATACAAATACACTTTGTTGCAAGTTCTCAAGAAAAAAAATCAACATCACCACAGACTATTTTATATTTTCCTACATAGGGTTATCAGTGTTTCAGCACCAAATGACCTTTCTCAAGAGTTACATTGATCTTCAGAAAAGCCATTTGAGCCTGAAGTGGTGATAACCTATCTTCATACAACTGACTCTGAAAATATTATATATTTGTTTCTGGGAAAAAGGAGGAAGAAGTACACAGGAATTTAATACAGTATATTAATCTGATTTCTATTGCAGTGCATTAATATATATTAATTAAAGTGCATAGAATGGATGCAAACTACTCACATCGAAAGCTGTTTGAAAAGAAGGGTTCCCTGTTTTAAGAGAAATATATATATATATTTTTTAAAGTTTGTGTCCAAAGTCCAAATTGGCCTCAAAAAACTTTTATTTTTCTTTTTTAATAATTGTGTATAAATTGGAAACTTCTTAAACTTTGGAATGATATTGACAATCTTGCATGTTTAAACTATAGGAAAGGAATTAACAAACAGATGAAGGTCACAAATACAATGTGAGAATAGACTGCTACACTACAGATGCAATGCTACAGAAGCCCTTTCTATAGCAAACATAGACATTAGCTCTTCTAATAACAGGTGTGGCTTTCATAGAAACTTATTTTGGGTCTGGCCCTCCATGTTTCACAGAGCAAACAGCAGCCAAATTTATATAGTAATTTTACAATGAGTAGCTGTTAAATACTTTTCAGTTGGTAAGTGCTTGGTCTATCTCCTTAAAAGTACATAGGTTTCTAAGCATTTAGATACTACTGGTATTTTAAAGCTGTTTATTAACATTGTAGGCATATTAAATTGGCATTTGGAAGTTGAGAAACTGTTCAGAGCTAGCAGAGACCATGGGAGTCTGCGGTTGGATTCTCATGACGTTGAAATTACATGTTACACTTAGACCATACTAAATCTGGATAATTTTAAATTGTGTTAAAGTTAGGATATGCTGGATGTATCGACACAAGATGCCTACTGAGCAGCTGATTAATTAGTTGCACAGTAAAAATCTTGGTGTCTACATGTGCTCCCCTATTAGGCTGGAATAAACTAATTTATTCCACAGTAGTGCACATATAGATGTTGCCTGACTGGCTGGGGCATAAAGGTACTTCAGTGCAGGGGCTGCTTTCCAGATAGCCCCATGCTGAAGCACTCTTGTGTCCCAACCAGCCCCTCTGCAGCATACTGAGCCAGGGGGAGCAGCCCTGGGTTGGCAGGCTGACCCCCAGATCCCCCCTGCCAGCTGAGGCTGCTTTGCCCTGACTCATCATGCTGCTCATGAATAACCTGCAGAGCTTATTGCTCCAGAGTTTATTGCTCCCAGCCTTATGTTCAAATGGCATGCCTGGGAGCAATTAAGTTTCATGAGTTATTCATGTACCATAAGTTCACATATAAATGCACCTGCTATTAGCAGTGGTGTGTTAAGAATTAATACTGATTTTTACTTGCACAGCTTTAACTTGCCACTACAGGGCTCATGAGTAGGAGTATGAATATGCCTAGGAGTCAGGACACCTGTGCTCTATCTAGCTGTAGATAGGGGAGGGAGAAGCTGGGACTGGTTATGGCAGAGCGCCTTTGGTGCCTGCCACTTTATGGGCTGGGAACACCTGGCAGGTGCAGGGCAGCTCTGATGAGGCAGCCATTTTAAAGCTAGGCCCATGGGGCAGAGGCAGCAGTTTCCTACAGGCAACCAGAAAGACAACACCCAGCTGAGCAGCTGCTCAGGAACACCTTGGAGGTAAGGGCAGGAGCTACAGGGATGGTAGGAGGCTCCTGGTCCTGCATGCAACCGAAAACTGCACCTTGCTGGGGAAGGGTGATCTGTTGGGGCTCTCTGTGGTGGGACAGTCCCCCAGAAATGCCAGACTAGTTACCTCCCTGGTGAAAAGTGGGTAGGGGTGCCTGATAACCCCAGCCTCATCATCTGGTCAATTGAGAGCAGATGCATAGAGGGGGAGCAGCTCTGGACACCTAAGCTGCATGGACTGAATGCCTGTAGTTTGCAGAGAGGAGGGCTCAGGACAAGCCAAAATGAGAAAAGACCCTGGTGGCCCCAGTAAAGGGGAAGAAAGAGAAGCCTCAGGGAGGGGGCAGAGAGTGACCCAGAATAGGAACAAACAGAGGGTCTAGACTAGGTGCCTGCAACCCCAGACATGCATGGCATGTAAGGCCATTTTTCTTGGCACACCACCACCAGCCCAGGCTTTAAGCAGATGCTTCCAGCCCTGGAGCCCAGGCTGCTCCCAGCAGGTAGCTGGGAGGTTGCAAGCCCTGCTGCAAACAGGCCAGGCTCTGTGGGTCAGTTGCAGCTGGGAGGCTGCAAACAGCTGCTCTGGGATCTGGCATGTCGGCACTCTAGCACCTTCCAAGATAGATATTGTGGCTTTTTTTGGCACTCCGGCCAAAAAACATTGTCTACCCTTGGTCTAGACATTGTCATTGGAGACCTGAGACCAAAGAGGTATAAGGCCTGTGTTTGGAAGGGCCCAAGAAAGTGGACCTATTTGAGATGGAGTGGGATTGTTGCTCAGAGACCTGACCAGAGGGACCCTTGATGGTCAATGCTGGGGCCAAGACCAGAAGTGTCAAAAGGACCAGGGTGCCCACCATGAAGGACACCTAGAGGCAGGGGGCTTAGGGTTCTGACTGGCCTAGAGACCGGGCCAGGGCCTGTGTAGCCAAGGGTCCCAGAGAGGGGGCCACTGTTGAGGGGGAGGAGGGTTCAGGGAGCTTGATAGTCCAGAATGAGGGCAGAGTAGACTGCTTGATTAGGAGGCATCTAGTTGGGGTCCAGACTCATTGTGGGGCCAGAATCATTAAGAACTTATGATACCATATGCAAGGCATGGGACACGATAAGAGGAGGTTGGAGCCATATGTATAACGCCGCTGGCATCAGGGTGGTAAAATGGACAGCCTTCTGTTTATTAAATCAAGTTATTAGATCAAGCCATGGCCAGAGAGACAGGGCAGACCACCATAGACAGGTGGGTGGGCTGATGTGAGACCCAGCCCCAGGGTGCCCTGTCACACTGGTACATCCTGGGATGTTGAAAGATTGAAAGTTATTGATTTTATTTCCATGGACTAGACTGAAGTTCCCCATATATGAGCCAGGTAGCATGGCCTAGAGTTTATGGTCGCATGAAGTGGCATAACTTTGAGGTGCTCAAAAAGCACAGCCTGAGTTAACAATCTTTAAAGTGGGGGTGCTTGCTTTTTAAGCGCCCTTAGTATATCCAAAGTATAATGCATAACTTCACCATTAAACCATTTGGGAATGCTTACTTCTCAGAAGAACCTAAATCCAGAAGGAAAGCTCTAAGCATAGTTATCAACAGGGATCCTGGTTTTCTCTGATTTTAAAAAAAAAAAAAAAAAAAAAAAATTCCCAATTTGCAGATGAACCTGCCCCCCCCATCCATATTTTCCAGTGATTAAAATGAAATGTCATATATATATATATTCATTATAATAATGGAAAATATGGATTTTTGGATTAACTTCTTTATATCCAAAAATTGGGGATTTTTTTTATCAGAGAAAACCAGGATCCCTGCTTATCAATTATCTCCCTAACCTGTTCTGATAAGCAGGGTTCTGGTTTTCGCTGATTTAAAAAAAAAAAAAATCCCCAATTTTTGGATTAAAAAAGTAACCCCAAGCCCCGATTTTTCCATGATCAGAATGAAATACTACTAATGTATAATGGTGTTTCATTTTGATCATGGAGAAATGGGGGTTTGGGGTTACTTTTTTTAATTTGAACATTGGGAATTTTTCTTTTCTTTTTTTTTTTTTTTTTTTTTTTTTTTTTTTTTTTTTTTTTAAACCAGGATCCCTGCTGGTAAGTGAAGGGGCATCAAAGGACACAAGGTAACATAGGACAAATTTAAGTGTGATGCTGACTGTGAAGGAAGACAATCATTTTGGCTTACCTAGAACATGAATTTCCTAATCAGTTGATCTTGCTTATGTGCCTAACTTCATTGGACCACTCAAAGCTGAGCCTGTAAGTAAAAGTTGGGGGGGGGACTAGTGCAGTCACTGTTAACCAGAAGTGAAATACAGGGTATCTCAGGGTGCTCCCTGCTTAAATGTCAGATTTAGGAAAATATCTTCTTTAGGCCCCTAACTCTCCCAAGACATTCTATTGGCAGTAAAAGATGGCTGTTCATCTAGGTGATAGGCTACAGAGCAATACCTAAATAGGGATCTTGTTATTTGGTCTCTTTTATCAGCCATTTCTTGCTGCTGAAGTGCTAAAACATTCTCACAGATTCTGTCTGTCAATTCCACTTTGTATCTCACCACTCACATATAAACACAAATCTTTTCTTCAAGCTGTACTTGCTTTTTAAGTTTGTGTGATCTTCAGCTGTCTAATTCTATATTTTAGAATAAGGAAAGTGTATTTTGGAAAATGATATTCCTGTTATTTTTGGCTTTAAGATTCATTTTACCAGGTTAACACACTTGCTCAGTTGCGTGTAGGCATGAAGAGAATTTTTAATGCTGCATGTGTTGAGGCACACCAAATTATGTTCCCCAGATTTTCATGTGGACACAGCATTAGTCGCTTCCATGGTAACATATTTCTTTCTGCTTGATTGGATTGGGGTTTTATAAAAGGGGTAACTAATTATAATGAATCAGACTGCCAAGGAAGTGATGCCCATGTCAACACACCTTCACACAAGCACTGGGCTCTGCAAACCAAAAACAACTTGTGGGATATGGGCCTTGAAATATAATTTTAAAATATTAACATTTTTAGTGGTTGTTGTTGCCTTTCTTTCTTTACTTAATTTTTTTTTGTTATAGTGAGGTTAGTTTTTATAAAAATAATTGATTGAAGCAGCCTTCATGAGGTTTGCACACTTTTCACATACCTTGACATTGTCCCAGATTCAAATTAGTCAAGTCTTATGATTATAGGTCAAAATTGGATGCTGTCTTGGAAGTAAAAGCCATGTGATTTGTCTTCTAATCTTCCTCAAAATATTGACTTGGTGTCCGTGAATGTTCACCATTATTAAGAGAGAAACCAGAAAGGCTGTTTTAATGAAGTTTGATCAGGGAATGCAAATGCATGTGTTCAAAGAGCCTACCCTAACATTAGAGTCAATATGTTCTTACATACTTCTGGTGTTCAATGCTTTCATTAGGTGAAAGGAATATACTGTTTCTTTGCATGTTCTTGTTAATTGTTATTTGGAGTTCACTGCCTGCCAATTACTTAGTACATTTGCAATGAAATGAAAAATAGATTGTTACATTATTGGAGATTCTTTTAAATCTGAACAGAGTTGTAGAAATGAAAAGCAGTATGTGTAGGGCATTATTGTTAAAAAAGCTTTGAAAGGAGAGCAATTTTCTTCATATTAGTCTTCTTATTGGTAACATTTAAAATCCTTACAGGACATATATTACTAAATGTAACTTGGCATCTTCCTCTTTACATGTAATGACAATAAAAACCACATTCTTTCTAAGTACAAAGCTACCCAGGCAATTGAATATTAGCAATGATTTTTTTTTTTTCTTTTTCTTTTTCTTTTTGTTAAATTACTCGGTTGAACTACTAATTCCATTGCCTTTCAGAAAAGGTAGTTTCTTTCTGGAACAATAGCATTGACCTCAATAGTGCTAGCAATTTACACTAACCATCCAGAATTGCAACTCAACAGCTGGCTGTAGTTTTCAATACCCATCATCATGCTTGTAGTTGGGACAATAACTCTTAAAGCCAGAGATCCTCAGTATTTGTTTAAGGACAAAATAATGAATTAAAGCTGCTTCATCAAGTTAGCTGGCAAGTACATCTTTTTAAGCATCATCCTAATTAGTATCCTCAAGGTTAAACCAAAAGATTGTTTAGATAAGACATAATAATTACACACTTAATTTAAGGGTAAGTAGTTCTATTCACAGTGAAGGCAACTATTAAAACCATTCTATTCCCATTCGTTGACAATTTCCCTAGTTCATTAGAACTGTAAATCTACCCACATAAAAAAGAATGGAAAATTAGCACTCATGGAGTGGAATGACTAGCTATCTAGGCCATTCAGTGTTTATGGGAAGAAAAACCAAGAATATGTCATGTGAACATAAGCCCCATGGCAGTTGCTATATATATTTATGTAAAAAGATCCAATATACCAGGCTTTGATGTCAATTACATTGAAGCAAATCAGTAGAAATGTTTCAGATTTATACATGTTTAAGTGAAATAATGGTCCTATGTGTAGTACTTTATTCTCCATTGAAAAAATTACTTAAAATCATTCAACAGATTGGTCTAGAAAAATACCAAAATTAAAATAGAAACTGGAATCAAATTGCTAATGCTGCTTATACCAGTTCAATAGAGGCCAAATTCTAATTATCAGTATAATAATTAAGTGGTCTTGCTATTAGGGAGATCTAACCCTCAAAAAGGGAAGTATTCTTTGAGTGTTGGCAGATAGTAACTTTCTATTGACTGGCAATCGATCAGTCCTTCTGTGTTCTTATAATGAGAGATCACTAAAAATACAATGATTTATGTCAAAGATTGTTGCATATCTCTCCATTTTTCAAGAGTGAAAACAGCAGTTGAAAGCCATTTCTAGCCTGTTATTTAATTAGAACTGTCTTGGCGATCAATCAAAAATCTTCATTTTGAGTCTTACTGATTAGTTTATGGATCTGAATTCCCTTCCTTGCCAGTTCCATTCAGTAACACTATTTTTTTTATGGCTAACATTTAATGATGTCAAGAAACTATTCTGCCACTTTAGTGAAAATCCTATATTTTTGCAAGTGGGAGAAATATCCAGTAATGTCAGAACACCTTAGTACAAATCTCTCTAATCCACTAAACAGAAAAAGGAACAGAATCCAGCCCAGATTCTTATCCAAAATAGCTTCAGGTGCTACATGAGTAGATCACATTATATGATCAGTCAGGAAACACCACAAAAAGACAGACAGACAGATGGGATTAGAGGTGCACCAATTCATCAGTCCGATATCAATTCAGCACCAATATAAAGAAAATTGGCTGTATTGGAAATCGGCTTTTTTGGCCTGATATGGCTGATAATTTGGCCAATAAATGACCTGTGCATGTGCACAGCTGCAGCACAGAACCTAGGCAGTGAGGAGCACAGCCTGGCAGCTTGAAGAGCTGTGTCCAGCTGGTAAGTCTGTGTTGAAAGGGAAGGGGGAGGGAAGGGGCATGGGGGAAGCAGATTGAGGCCCCTGTGGTGAGGGAGGGAGTGGGACTGGGCCTGGGGCGGGGACTGGGGCAGGTACTACCCAGCTAGGGTGGGGTGGGGCATGGGACAGAGCTGCAGGGCATGGGGGAGGGTGTTTGCCCCCAGATCTGTGAGGGGTGTGGGTGGGCTGCTGCTGCAGACTGGGGCTGGGCATGCACTAGGCTCTTCCTGGTGGAGGCTGGGCCGAGCTGCACTTGGGGTAGGCAGTGGTGCTGGGAGGGGAGGTTGGGGGTGCTACGGTGAAATTTGGAGTTGCTGCAGCCCCCACCCTTATAGCTTCTCTCCTAGTGTCACCATTGCACACCCCAAGCACATCTCAGGCCATTCCCCTACTGGGAAGAGCCTGACACATTGCCACACTAGCCCGAAGCAACCCGCCCTGCCCCACACAGATCCAGGACACATGCCCCCCCATGGCTTCCCAGGGTGCATGCACTGACAGGAGCTGCCCCCCTTTCCCCATGCCCCCAGACAAGCCATGGTGCCATCCCATGTCCCACCCTACCCCAGCTAGGCAGTGCCTGCCCCAACCCCTGCTCCAGCCCCACTGCAGGGGCCTCAATCTGTCCCCCATACCCTTTCCCTTCCCTCTCCCCTTTCACTGCAATAGACTTACCAGCCAGACACTGCTCTTCAAGATGCCGGGCTGTGTATTGGAAATCAGATCAGGATCAGCTGATATGCGTCCTTAAAATTTGGCTATCAGTATCAGCCCCCAGAATCTCTATCAGTAATGGCGTTTCACTTTAATTACAGAAGAATGTGATTTGGGGGTTACTTTTTAGAATCTAAAAATTGAGGATTATTTTTTTTGTTTTTTTTTTTTTATCAGAGAAAACTAGCATCCCTGGTGATCAGTACTTAAAGCACTGTCTGGTTCTCTTGGCCACATTTATTATCCACCAATTCTAGACCACAGTTTATTGTCCATGGAAACTGAATTCAACAGGTTAAACGTTCACCTGCATGTACTATGGTGAATATGTGACCAGGGCCTTAGCTTGTAAATTCCTCAGATCAGAGATCAGATTGTTTTATGAGGGTTACTAAGTGCTAAGCACCATGCTGCATCTAATACACTGATACCACTAATATAAACTAGGCAAAAACATGTATAGACATTCTTTTTTGTACAAAATTAAGTATAAATCCTATTTTACCTTTTGCTGAAATGTCTCACAGTTCATATTTTTAACTATGTGCTTATACTATAATGTTTATGTTCTTTCTCTGAAGATAGCTTCTTTCTCTAATAGTATTATTGACATTTAATACAAAGAAGAAAATATATTTTTAAATATTTATGCATCTGCTTATCTCCAAAAACATTCATGCTGACTGATTCCCACTTGAGGGTACAATATATAATGCAAATAATGTATATCATTAATCTACTTAATAATGCAAAAATTCTGGTACTTTTCTCAGTAAATTTTGTCTTGTCAGCAGATAAATGAAGTGCTGAAAATACATTCTTTCTTTTCAAATATGTATCTGACACAACAAAATAATTATTGTAATGTCTGATCAGTATTAGTTTATAATAAGTGCAGCTGCAAACTTACTCCTATTACAGACATTCACTTCCATAATCAGTGGTTGATAATCATACAGTTATAAACCTGACATACTATGACTGTCATCATAAGACACTTTTAATCATTATGTGAATGAACATTTAATCAGGTAGCTGCATATAATTGCCTTTTGAATACACACACAATTAAATTCAGCTCCTCAAAGAGAAACTTTTCAAAGTATTAGGTGATCTTTAAAGAATTGTATACAGAATAAACAGAATTAAATCAGTTTAAAAAATCTGTTTTATCTCGGGGACATTATGATATTCTTATAAATTATCACTTATGTTACCTTATTTCATGAAGTCATTTCGTGTACAAACAAAAAACAAAACAAACAAAAAAGTACTAAGTATTATAAAAGTAGGGTGCAGAGTAAATAATTGAAATCAGTTTTTTGGGTTCTGTCATCTCTTAGAAAAATATCAACATTTTTCCAAATTTATAACACATGATAGTGGAGTTGTGTAGCTTCAGTCTCTATGAAGGGAAGCTGCATCTTTAAAATTACATAGATAAAAAAAATATGTAGTAAACTTATATATACATACATACACACACACACACGTTTAAAAATTCCATAGATTTAAAAAAAAATTATCTACACACTTAAATTCTATGTAAACTTTAAAAATCTACAAAAAAATTCCATAGATTAAAAAATAATATGTAAAAAACCTCTATATATACATACACACACACTTCACTTTGCCTTCTGCATTAATTTTGATTGAGGATAGTTTTTTGTGATGCTTTGTTTAGAAATGAAATAAATGTCTATTTAACTATGATTTAATATACCACATTTACTCAAATAGATGATGACACTGATTATAAGACAACCCCCCCAAAAATTATATCTTATATAAGGAAAATGTATAAATTTGTTATACATTTCCAAGTATAGAATTAAATTATTTGATATTTACTTTGAATTTGTCTGCTCTAGCAGGGAAAATAAATCTCAGGGGTCAGGTAGCCCCTTTGCTCTCTGCTTCCTCCCCTACATTTCACCCTGGCAGCCCCTTCTCCCGATCCTTACTGTCAGACTTGGATCTTCCTGAGCACATGGAAATGAGGAACAAAATTGAAAACAATAACCTTGAAATTAAACATGGCTGAATCAATATGCATATAGTACCCATAAACTTAGTTCAACTAGAACTAATGCGTGTTATCATTTATTTATTTTTTTTAAACTACTGCAAGTTTTAGCACAGGTACTCCATAAACACACCTTTGAGCAGTGTTTTAGCATGTACTGGGCATGTCTACAGAAGGTGCCCACTGTACAGTTGTTACTGCACAGTCATTTAGTACTTGCATAACCAAGCACTAAATGGTTGCACAGTAACTGGCATTACTTTACAGTAGCATCCTGACACAGTTGCCTAGTGATGCTTACTGCACAGTAGCCCATTACTGCTGTGCAGTAGCTTGTTACTGCTGTGCAGTAGCATTGCATCATGGTTCATGCCCAGTGACACTACTGCACAGTAGTAATGAGCTACTGTGAAGTAAGTTTCTCATGTAGATGTGGCCACTGGGTGTATCTACACATGCATTTGATATGAGACCAGTTTACTTGCGAGTAAACTACTCATGAGTAAATAATTCTGAGTAGACATCTACATATTAGGGCTGTGCAAAGCTTTGGTTGCGGATTTGATTCGGAGGAGATTTGGCCTGATTTGACAGGCAAATCTCTGAATCCGAATTGAATTAATCTCTCCAAATCGAAATGGAAGACTCCAAATCAATTTGGAGAGATTCAATGATTCAGACATAGACACAGCTTTATATTTTTTTTTCTACATACCTCAAGGTACCAAGAGGCTAGTGATTGCCACCAAGCATGCAGGGAACCCTGCAGCATGCAGCAGCACTCATGCCACAGTCTCTGCCTCCCTGTGCCATGGCTCCAGTCCCTGCCCTTGGCAGCAATGCCCAATGCCCCACACTGCTGGCCACTGTTCTGGCCTTGCTGGCCCACTGCACCGGTTGCTGGCTGCTGTTGACCACCTGCCTAGCCCCACCACACTGTCCCAGGGCCACCAACACAGTGTAGCTGCCACTTGGACCCCATCCTCGTGGCCAGACGCTAGCAAGAATGCCAATGACAGGATCCAGGATGCCACACTATGCCCCAAGATGCACGATCCCCTGGAGGTGGTGGCATGGATTCATGCCCTGGGATTCCATCAGAGCATCAGGGGCCATGGATGGGAGCCACCTCTCTGTCACCTTCCTGTCCCCATGGTGACTGCCCCTACTACAGCCAGAGGTGCCTTCACTCCATTGTGTTCCAAGCTGTCTTCAACCACTGTGGCACCATCACCAACATGAGTGTCAGCTGGATGGGGAGTTCCCATGATGTCCACATCTTCTGGAATTCTGCCTGACCCTGGTAAAGAGCATGCACTTCATGCTGGGGGTGCCAGACCTCCAGCTGGGTTCCATGGTAGTTTCACCCCTCCTCATCAGGGACCCTGCCAACCCACTTCTCTCCTGGCTCATGTGGCCCTACACCAGCCAACTGGACCCCTGAAGACCCATTTCAACAGGTGCCTGAGATGGATCTGCACCCTGGTGGTGTGCACCTTTAGCTGGCTCAAGGAATGCTGGCATACCCTCACTACCCACCTTGAGTTTGACAAAGACAACATCCCCTGGGTCATCATGACAGCTTGCATACTGCATAACATTTGTGACATCTGTGCCTGGAGGGAGCTGTTTCATGAAGCCTAGGCAGAGGAGGCATGGTGGGCAGAGGATGCCTGCCAGTGGAAGCAATAGTTTCAGCGACAGTGATAGCAGCACTGAAGCCCTGGGCAAGCTGCACACCTGCCAGCAGATGCCAGGGCACCAGGTATAAGAAGCACTACCCACAGGCTGCCCACCCCATTGCCCACCCCCAGCACCATGTTCACTACATACAGTTCCTAGAAAAAAATACTTTATTGCCCTCACAACAAACAAACTCCTTCTCCCTTCTGCACAACAGAAGCAATCCCCCTCTCCCCGCCAACAACAGATCCTCTCCACCACCCACCCCACTCTACCCACCTCTTCCCCATGAAAACAATTTACAATGTGGAAAGTTTCAGGTGATTATTAATAGTTTTTCATGGGTTTCTACATTAAGAAAATGAGCTCTGTAAGAGGTTCTTTCGTTGGAAGTTGATGTATGTTGTTTAAGTATTTAATATATGTAGTATGTTTTTGGATATATAGGTTTTTTTATTGGAACATTTTGGTAAAACAAGGGTGCTCAACATGCTAAGCTCTGTAAGTGTAGTGTTATAAGTATGTTTTAATGAAATTTGTAACAAAAACCCCTGTTCCCATAAACGTTTACCCAATGTGGATCCATGGTTAGTGTTGGCTGCATTTAATCAGCTTTAGAGATGGTTTCTATTGCTGAGCACATGCTGCTTTTGGCACTTTTTTTTTCTCTATGCCATTTGGAAGGGGGAAAAAAAAACTTATCTTGTATACGAGTAAATATGGTAAAATTTCAGATTTTTTTCTCATTTTATAAGTGATCAACATAAATTCTTACTTTGTTTCAAATTAAAATACACTGCTTCTATTATGGAATAAAAATGGCTTTCTAGTTTCCATTTTTGGATGTTTTTATTCCTTCTTTATCCATGCTACTCTCATTTTTTCACAATTCTTCTCACCCCTCCCCTTTGAAAAAAGCATTTGTGAAATAAGGGATGGGCAGAGAAGGCTACTTTGGGGGGGAAAAAAAGTCTTGTTTCTTTAATTTGCTCAATATAGAAATATTTCTAACCAAGCTGGAGAAACTTCTAAAATCAACAAATGAAAATTGAAAACCATCTGTTTGGGGTTTAGAACAAGAAAGTGGGAATATCTTTTTATGTTAAAAAAATCAACATTTTCTCTTTAAACATTTTCAGTTTGGAAAATCCCTTGTTTACCTCTCCCAAACCTCATACCTCTTTACTTCCTAAGTTATCAGTATAATCAGTGGTTTAAAAAAAGAAAAATCAAACCTCATTCGTTCTCATGAAACTGTAACTGCTGTTGTTCTCATGGGGTAACTTGATACCCTGCAATTCGACATTGTTGGTTTTATGAGTAACTTGTTACCCCACCCACATGAACAAAATGGAACCAGTGACAACAGTATAAATGTACCAAAAACTATTTATTAAGCATACCGATTGTTTGAAAGAGTATTTATGATTATTTGAACCCAAAATATTATTTAACTAGAACTATGAATAATATTTAATCTTTTTAAAGAATTTCAAATGCGAATGAACAGTTGCCTAAGTTTGCAGTTCACTGTTTTCAAACTAACAATTACTTCCAAAAACATTTCCTAACTGTTTTAAGTAAATATTTAATTTCTCACAAAGCAGCAGTTGTACTGTGGTGCACACAAGCGAATTGCTTACAATCTTCTCATTGTTTCTGGGTTTTGCAGTCATCTGTCCTTCGACAAAAAGCACAATGTCCACTCATGCTTGCAGAAGGTTCTACTGGAGTGTGTTGTGCCAATTTGTAATTTAAGGCAGTCATACCAGACTTGATGGACTTAGACAGATTATGTGTATCCATCATTCTTCATTTTATTTGTCTGTCAATCAACTGTTCTCCAAGCTTCCGCAAAGAAAAGTGCCACCTTCTTAAATATGATCTTTGCTTCCAGTTTGTGTTGTGGTCTAGCCAAATGATGATGTTGGCAATGGCAGCCACATCCAGCATATTGAAAAATAGTGTCATTGGCCACCTGTTGATTTTCCATCTGCAGGTGGTCATACATACTAAGTGGTCACAGATATCAACCCCACCCCTGTATTTATTGTATTCATGGATGATGTCTGGCTTTCTTTGCTCTCCACCCACTGACAGGTCATGGTGCATGCTTGACAGCAACAGCACAACTTTGGACTTCTTTGGAATATAGGAAACTAGGGCGAGTTCCCCATCAAAAACACAAAAATGAATGAAACAGTTGACCTTTTTTGATTTGCTTGCATACTGTTTGGGATATCGGCTTTGTTTTTCCAAATTGTACCCACATCGGTCAAGTCCTGCTGTAGCAGTCTTTCTGCCAGGTCAGTACTTGTGAAGAAATTGTCACCCACAATATTCCTTCCCATCTTGTACCAGGGATGAACCAATTTTTCAATGACCTAGGTACCAAGGTTACCTTGGCCTGGAGCTTCTGGTTGCTTGCCCAGGTACATGTCTCCAGGCAGGGGGAATGATGTTGCTGCAAAACAGCACCACTGAATTTTCAAACCGTATTTGGTGGGTTTGCTGGGCATATATGGTCTGAAGGACCAGTGACCCTTGAATGCAATGAGCTGCTCATCAACCATCAGTTGATACCTGGAATATACCGTTTCCTGAGCTGCTCCACAAACTGTGTCAAAATATCTCTGAAGGCAGCAAGCTCTCCTTTCCTCACGTCAGTTTGTTGTCAAATCTCAGGTAGTTGGTGATTTGACAAAATTGTTTAAACTTATGGTGGCACCGAAGCAAGGATGCCTGGTGTGTTGCTCCCACAACTCCTCCAGTGCCTCATGACCACTGTGGTATAGACCACTCATCAGTAGGAGACCAATGTAGGGTTTCAGCTCTGTTTCCTCCAGCTTTTTCCACTCCTTCCTATTTTCAGGATGGCTATTATTTCACTCCCTGAGTCTTTTTTCTGCCTTTCTCTTTGTTTCTCTTATGCTAACAGTCAGGATATTTTGTGAGAGAAACAGGTAGAATGTTTCCACTACTGTGTCTTTATTACATTCTCTTGTTGGCCCAGTACTTTCATGGACTATGTCCTTGGCTGGTCTTTGATGTATTAGCTGTGGACTTTTTTCCCCACACTCTACCAGTTCTTCCTCTAAAGGTGTCATCACCTTCAATATTTTCTGGGGGTGGTGGCAGTGCTTCTGCTTCATGTCCTACTGTAGCTCTCCTCGGTCTTCCACGGTAGCCCCAGGCTGGTCCTCTTCCCTTTCCCATTGGAAGCGTTGGCATCACTTCTGCTTGTGACACCAACACCTCCTCATCTGAGCAGGATGAAGTTTCCATAAACCCATGGTTTTCTTGCTCTGAACAATCTCCCATGTCTGGAATAAAGTCAGCATCCTCACTGCCTTGGGATAAGATTTTATCAGTGGATGTGTCACTGCCATCCCTGGTTACATGTGCAAGATAGGCTTCAGCACTGAACATGCACTGCCTTCTCTCCTAGACTGCAGGAAAAAAAAGAAAAAAAGGATTACTGCTGAATGCCTATAAATAAAAATCAAAGACAAGCCTGTTCACCAATGCAGTCACAGAAACAATTCTGCCCTTCCCTATGTCAGTGCAGGTAGCACCCTCTCGTCCTGGGCACAGATTCCAGAGACCAGCATCCACTCTTTGCAGGCAAGCCAAATATGGGTGGATGCTGTTTGGAAACCACACATGCAGGGGCTTATTAAGAACAGGTAAAAGGAGCATTGGGGATGTCAAGCCCTTACTGTTGAAGGGGACTCCTTAGTGTATGCTGTATATTGCAGTATGACATTGTTCTATTTCTTTCCTGCTGTCCCATTGTTCCATGTCCTCACTTCCAACAAAGGCAGGGCAAACTAGCTTGTATGTTATGAAAGGGGCAGGTGAGGCAGAGTTTTGCCATGAGAAAAGAGAGCAGAGATGGATTTAGGTGTGACAAAGGGTTTTTTTTGTTGTTGTTTTCTTTGGGTTTTTTTGGCAAAGGGCAGGGTGTTTTGATGACCTTGCAGCCTGAAAACAAAGTGGTTAGCAAAGGGGTTATCACATCTTCTGCAAAAGCAGAGTGGAACATGGCCATCTATTAGTTACCA